ACTAAATCCGGATTTAAAAGATTTACTAAATCCCACTAAAGTTAAATCCCACTTGTTGCCAAACAGCCCCTAAAGCTTCTTATTCAACGTCTCAGACGGGAATTTTTATTGCGTCCTCCCACCTGACGCAGAGATGCGTCCTCCCAGAGCTAAAATCGCGCTAAAAAACGAGAAATGCCAAGCAAATATCGAGCAATACCAAACAATAACGAGGAATATCATCATGTGAAGACCAATACCGAGCTATACCGAGCTATACCGAGCAATACAAAAAATACCTAATTTTTTCTAGAGAAAACTCGGTATGTGCTCGGTATTGCTCGGTATAACTCGGCATTGATCTTCACATGATGATATTCCTCGTTAATACCAAATAATATCTAGCAATACCGAGTAAAAACCGGACGTAGGGGGACTCAATAAAAATTCCTCAGACGGTGAGACGGCGAAGAGGAAGACAGTCTGACCCTGCGATGGCGTACGTTAGCATGGGCGAGGCTCACCGGCGGATAACAGATTTCCTCAGCCGGTTTTACGATGCCATCTCCTCCCAAGACGGCGCCGCTCTCAGGTCCCTTCTCGCGGTCTCCTCCAACTCTTCCCTACTCCTTTCCCTTGCCGACGCCCTCAACATCTTCCAGGTTTTTTGTCTCTACTTTTTGCTATGCTAATTTTCTACTAGATTTGATGTTTCCGATATCTCACTTCGGTTCTCCCGTAGGATTGGGCTCGATTGGTGAAGCAAGCGGACAGGAACTCGCAGCAGCTTGGAGAAATCCTCGTCCCTCACCTCCGCTGCATCCAGAGCTTCCGAATTGGGCGATTCGTTGAGGCTTACGTCGCCTTCGAGAAATCTGCCAAGTACTCCTCGTTTTTGCATCCTCAGGAGTTTTGATTTCTTTTCAAAGTCGTGGTTAATGGATTAGGGTTTCAGTGCGTTTCTACAGGAATTTCGGAACTGGGAGACGGCGTGGGCGGTGGAGGCTGTGTATGTGGTCGCTCATGAAATCAGGGTGCTTGCAGAAATGGTATGAGGCTTAGGGTTTTGGTGTGGGCTTGAAGCCCTATATATATCCTTTTATTACTTACTTTCATACTTAGTTGTGGATTTTGATTGCATTGATAGGCTGATAAAGAGTTGTCTTCCATGGGGAAGAACCCTGAGAAGTTGCAGGGGGCTGGCTCTTTCCTCATGAAGGTGTTCGGGGCACTTGCGGTATGATTTCTTTTTTTTTTTTTCTTCTGATGAAGTTTCTTTCTTTCTTCTTTTGCATTGTCTACTTTTCTTTTTTAGCAAGTCAAATTTAGATTTCTTTTTTACCCTATTAAATATATTCTATGATTCATTATTCAAGTGTGTTAGCCATTGAGGAATATATTGGCTTTAGTCTTGACTCTTGACTATAATATATAGATGCTTATCTGTAGCAAAATCATTCGATTAGGGACCCCAGTCATAATTGTTCATCGTGTGGAATCATTGAGCCAAACCACCAATTAGATAACATGTGTCACATCCTTACTAGAGGGAGATTATTTGAGAATGAATATTATTGATATTCTCGATTAGATATTCGTTTTTATGAGTTGAGGTTATCCTTTAATTCATCACCCCGCCAAACTGTTTAGAGGATGGATAAATTTTGCTTTAAATTTTAAGTGATTAATTTCCCTTTAAATTTTTGAATTTTTATGAACATTAAATTTTAAAATTTTGATAGAATTTGAGAATTGACCTTTCTGGTTGAAATTTATTTTCAATATTGCCACCATCAAGGATACTTTTGGATTACTTTAAATATGGTATTTTATTGTGTGAGAATTTGATTTTTAAAAATTAATCCCTCTTGTTGATATTCAACTTCAACACGATCATCATTGGGTTGGATTTTATTGTGTCAAAATTTGATTGTTGAGAATTAACTCATCCGATTGAGATTCTTCATCAACATGGTCATCATCGGGGATACATTGGGGTCACTTTAAGTATTTGTATTTTATTGCTTTAGAATTTGATTTTGAGAATCAACTCCATCCGTTGAGATCATCATTAACACAACCATCATTGAGGTGATGTTGATGTCATTCAAATATTTGTATTATATTAGTGTTTAGAGACATTTAAAATGATAGTCCCCTACGGTTGAGAATCATTTTCAACACGGATATCATCAGTGGTCGATCCTTTTGAATTTGGTACGTTTAGCATCACAATTCTTCTTCCTTCATCAGCTCTTGCCATGCTTATGCTTCATTAATGAATTACATGACTTCTTTTTCTAAGTATTTGATCACGAACTTGATCAAATTTAACATTCAGGCATGCAAGAAACTCAAATATCATCTCTTTTCACATATTATTTGATAATTTCATCACACTCACCAAAATTTTTCATGAAATCTTGTTAGGAATTTAACTCTAACCAAAAACCTTTAGATCACACTATAATATTCAATAACAGTAGGCTATCTTGCTTTGTTGTTGAGGGCATTTTCTTGATACACAAATTATCTCTGACCTTTGAATATGTCTATCATACGGGCTCTCAAATTTATGCAGATATTGTTAGAAACATGTAACGTCTACATATTTTTGGCATCTTGGAGTTTCTTTAAGGCTTGGAGCAACACTTATCATGTTGTTGATTTTCTCTTTTCCTTTCAAGAGGTTCTTTACAATGTGTGATCACTCCAAATAATTTCTTTTGTTCAATTAATATGAGGTCTCTAGATTTTGGAGCTCTTCAATATTTTAGTTGTCTTGATTCTCTTTAGTCATGGCAATAGATTCTTTTGGAATGAATAATAGGTGTTATAGAAGTAGAAAAATACATATATATAATAAAACAACAACAAAACCAACATCAAACCTTTATTCCACTATATGGGGTCGACTAAATGGAGTCGGCTATATGAATACTTTTATTAGTGGTTTTATAGAAAGATCAAACTATTGCATATTAACACTGATGTTATTGTCATGCATTTACTGAATTGGCATCACTTTAGTTTTTATTAACTAGTTTTATGGAATCAATTATGAAGTTTAATATTGTTCAAACCTCTTCTATTAATATACCTTTGGGCTTATTTTTTTGTAGGGTAAAGGTCCTAAACGTGTTGGAGCATTGTATGTTACTTGTCAATTGTTTAAAGTTTACTTCAAGGTTGGTTCTAGCTTGTGCTCCATTACTTAGTTTACTTGTTAATTCCTGATTTTGCTTACATTATAATTGCAGAGTTTGGAAGCTTATTTCGTGTCTGAGTCAGTAATTGTTGCATCCTTCTGTATCACAGTTTGAATATTTTTAATTTTTGCAGCTAGGTACTGTGCATTTGTGTAGAAGTGTTATTCGAAGTATTGAAACTGCTAAAATCTTTGATTTTGAAGAGTTCCCTTCTAGTGATAAGGTTAGAGAAATTTCTCTAACCTACTACTAGATAGCTAAGAATTATCATCCTTATTACTAATTCTTACCAAAATTTTAATTTCAAGCCTGTTCTACTTTGCTTCCATTGCACCACAGGCCACCTACATGTATTATACAGGCCGTTTGGAAGTTTATAATGAGAACTTCGTTGCTGTAAGTATTACAATTTGACTATATAGTTGAATAGTTGGCTTCCATGTACTTATGCCTAACCAAGAGTATTGTTTCACTATTCCTTGCCATTCTTATTTCCAATAGAATAAGCACTTGTTAATAGAATTATATTCTGATTATATTGGTAATTACCTAGCTTTGGTTTAGACCATCTGCTATCAAAGATTGGCAGTTTTTTTACCTCTTTTTTGCTTGAACAGGCTGATCAAAAACTAACGTATGCTTTGATGCATTGCAACTCTCAGTATGAAGCTAATTTGAGGTAATACTTAAGCTGTTCTATCTTACAGATGATGATACACTAATTTTTTTAAGCCATTGTAAACAGGATGATTTTGAAGTATCTCATACCTGTAAAGCTTTCTATAGGAATCTTGCCGAAGATGACTCTTTTAGAAAAGTACAATTTGATCGAGGTGTGTCCATTTTTATTTTTTTCATGCCTGACTATGAGATGCATATATTTGTATATTCTTGCGAGAGAGGTGGCAGTTGTAAGAACATTAGCTATTTTTAACATGATGGTCATCGTACTTCTAAATTTTCTTTTGCAGTATACTAATGTTGTGAAAGCGCTAAAAAGTGGTGATCTCAGACTGTTGAGGCGAGCACTTCAAGAGCATGAAGATCAGTAAGTGCATTTTCACCATATGAGACTTAAATAGAAAGATGAATATATCTTGATACTAGTAAATAATTTATAATTCCATCAGGTTTTTAAGGACGGGCGTTTACCTTGTTCTTGAGAAGCTAGAGCTCCAAGTTTATCAGAGACTACTTAAAAAGATGTAAGATTTCCTCTATTGTCCAGATGAAATGAAATTTGCTCACTCTGATGAAGATTTTTCAACTCCTCAGCCATATGATTCAGAAACAGAAGGATCCGAGCAAGGCACATCAGATCAAGTTGGATTTGATAGTTAAAGCATTGAAGTGGCTTCAAGTAGACATGGATGTTGATGAGGTGATTTTCCATTCTGCACATCATCTTTTCGTTTTCAACTTTGAGAGATTTAGGCTTTGTTTGGGACGGCTTTCTTTCTACTGCTTAAAGTAGCTTTCTATTATAAAAATTAAAAAATTTGTATTAAAAAGTTGCTTTAAGAAGCAGTAAGAAAGCCATCCCAAACGAAGTATTAAAACTACCCTAAAATTTCTAATTTACTGCATTTTGAAATCATTAAAAGTAGGCAATTTTCATATCATATTCCCCACTTTGCCCATTCGTGATTTTTATTTATTTTGAAAACATCCAACTCAACAGCCCCTTAATCTAATAATTTGTTGACTAATTCAGGTGGAGTGTATCATGGCAATTCTCATCTACAAGAATCTTATCAAGGGCTACTTTGCTCACAAGAGCAAGGTGGTAGTCCTCAGTAAGCAAGATCCCTTTCCAAAATTGAAGGGCAAGCCAGTTAGTTCTTAATCAATAGCTTGAGTTGTTGATGATGGAGAAATAACCTTTTTTTTTTCATGTAGAGACTAGTTAAAAGTTAGGGTTCTATAGTTTCATATTCTGTAAATTTTTATGTTCATTTAAACTAAGTTGTGTTTATATTAAAAATGCTAACAATGCATTAAACTAAGCTGTGTTTATGAGCCAAATTTCTTTAGATGTTTACATAGCTTTTTATCTAATTACTGTTGATAATTTCTTTAGATATTTACATGTTCATGTCTTCATATTTGTATAGATGTATCATAAGCTGCTTAATAAAACTACATTACAATAAGAAAGCTCGACTTCTCTTTTTAGTGAACTGCTGTTCAATAGAAAATAAAACTATCACTATTCTTACAGGATATAAATGAGCTAATATGAAATTGTGTGCGAGTGGAACATAAATCTTTCCTTCACATTTTTCACATACAAATCAAAGCCATATGTTCTACAAGTCCTTTAAAATCAAAGCAGAATAATACTATTCCCAAACAAATCCAAATAAGGCAGCAGCTTTCTATTTAACAGTATAACGAAGAAATCAACAATAAAACCTTTGAAAAAACGAAGCAGGAAAAACTAGCTTGGAAAATGATGATTTATTTATTCAATCTAAAAGACTGTCATACCACTTCAGTTAGCAGTAGTTTCTTCGGCCTCTGAAGTCCATTCAGAAGCCTCCATATTATTCAACTGGCAGTTGGGGCATATGTACTTCTTCCGAAGCTCCGCTCGCAGGAAACTGTATGTTTTCTCCAATTCACTAATCTGATTGCGTCAGGTTAGGGAAATATTTTTCTAAAGGATAAAATTATTTCAAAGCAGAATAAAAGAAAAAAATAATATCCATTATTTTATAAAACAGTAGAGCTAAAACAAATGCTTTAATGATGTTTGTAATGTTTATTACTACCGAGTGTTTATAGAGTAATGGGGAAAAGGATATCCTGACAGATCCTTCAATCGTTCTGATTGTCGCACGATAGCTTCACTAAGAGAAACCTTTTTTTGCAAATTAGCCAGCTCTTCAGCAACCTTCGTTTTACAATATCAATTTTTGATCAGAAACTCTTCTTTTGTCGAAGATAAACAAGACCATTATGATATATTCTTTAGGAAAAGCTTAGGATATTCTGCACATATTAAAAATAGTTCTCAAAGGGTGACTTTGCTTTGAAATGTATTAATCTACTTCACTCATTTCCAAGTAAATTTAATAACTTTCAGAATAATTAGGACCAATATTTGATCAGGAGATCGTGATCCCATAATCTTCTCGTTCTTTATATCTCATAAGCATTATGAAATGGATAGTTTCAAAACACTTTTAATTATAAAATTGGTGAATCTGCTCTGCCACTTTTTATGTGATTTCATTACTTCATATGGCTAAACAATTAGACAATCTCTTACAAAATAAAAAAAAGTTGTAATAATTTAAATATAAAAGGAGGAAACCAGAAATGATACTAAATTGAAAGGCATGATATCGTTTAGAGAAATATTACCTCATTTTGAAAGGCATGATATTTTCTTGCAAAGTGCATAATAGCCTTGAAAATCACATCACTTTAAGAAGCGTGTTATTGCATTGAAGTGCATGTATTATATTGAAAAATGTGACATTGTTTTGAGAAGTGTTTCGCTCCCTTAGAAAGTGTGCATCTGCCTCATTAAGCATGCTATTTTCTGAGAATCATGTAGCTATTTTAAAAGTCATACTTCCTCAAAAAGTAGACAAGGGACCTAACAAATCAGGACGACAAAATCATAAGATTTTATCGGGTTCATTATCATTCTCCCCACCATCTCCTTTAAGCATGAAAGTTATAATTTTTCAAATTCTAAAATCAATATGTTGCTACTATATGTTGGATACCCAATATATATTGTGGACTAGACATAATTGAATGTTTTATCGTGTCGTCGAGAGGGGTAATTAATCATAGGTGCTTGTGCTTACGGGAGCCTTGAACTCAGATTATAAAGCCTTCTCAAAATAAGGGAGAAATTTCTGGGTTGTGCTTTAACTTAAAATTAATTTGCCTTATGAAAATTTGACCCAAAACATTGCTAAAACTCTTCAAAAGAGGAGAGGCCAAGGTGCGAAGTTTTGGAGCCTATAATCTCCATCTATTTCACCATTGCTTTGAATAACAAATCCGAGATATCTAAAACATGCACTTTTTTTAATGACTTGATCACCCAATATCACAATCCACCACTAGATCTATTACTACTAAAATTACACTCCATGTATTACATTTTAGATCTACTACAACAACAACATCATCAAGCCTTTATCCCACTACATGGGGTCGGCTACATGAATCATTTTTCTCCATTGTGTCATATTAAAAGTCAAATTCTTGTTTAAATCTAATAAAGAAAGGTCATTCCTAATATTTTCTAACAAAGTCTTTTTAAGTCTGCGTCTACATTTCGTAACGTAAGTCAAATATAATACCTCTACTCTCCTAATCGGGTCATCGGAAGGCCTCCGTTTTATGTGACCAAAACATCTAAGGAGACTCTCTCTAATCTTATCTTCTACTGGAGTTACTCCAACCTTTTCATGTATATGCTCATTTCGTATCCTATCTCTAAGGATAAAGCCACTCATCCACCTAAGCATCCTCATCACTGTCACACTTAACTTAGTATCATGCTTCTCTTTTAATGACCAACATTTGACACCATAAAACATTGCAGGCCTCACCACCATCTTATAGAATTATCCCTTGAGTTTGAGGGGTACTTTTCTATCACACAACAAGCCCGATGCATTCCTCCACTTCAACCATCCAACTTGAATTTTGCTGATAATATCCCCATCTATTTCACCATCACTCCGAACAATAGATCCAAGATATCTAAAACGTGTACTCTTATTAATGGCTTGATTGCCCAAAGTCACAATCCCCTCACTAGGTCTATTACTACTAAAATTACACTCCATATATTCCGTTTTAGATTTACTCAAGCGAAAACCTTTAACTCTAAGGTTGACCTCCATAATTCAAGTTTACCTTCAAGACGATCTCAATATCGTCCCGGACGATCCTGGGAGGAAAATCACATCTACAGAGAAACAAATCAAAGGAACGAGCTCTCACAATCTCCCCACCTTAGAAAAATGTCGTCCCGACATTTCCCTTAAGTGTCCGGAGCAAAACGAAACAAAACAAATCCAATCAATCGGAAAATCGTACAAATCACATCGAAACATACAATAAACTAAACTCGTACCAGTCACATCTTTAGGCACTGAAGGAACATCTTCCACCATTGCTTGTATGTTTTCAGTCTGAACATTCGGAACAGGTCCTTGCCTAGGTCCAAAACTTGGGCAATCGGTCATTCTATGTCCATATGCACCACATCGGAAGCATTGCCCTGTTCTCCGATAACACTGTCCCAAATGTCTTTTCCCACAACATGTACAAACATTAAGCCTTGCTCTGCTACCTTCCCCACTTTTCTTGCCACGGCCAGAACGTTTGGCTAACTTGTCGCTCACCATTTGAGCGACCATGTCAGCAAACTTATTCATATTTGCATATGTGAGCGGGAGGTCAGTAGCAGACTCAACTGTCTTTCCTTTCGGATCCATTGGCCTGGTCAATACAAATCATTCAAATCAAATAAAATCATGGAAATCAAACACGTAAAACAAAACAAATCAAATAATACAATCATCACTATCACTCTGGATATAAGCAAATCCTTTCACTACACTCGCTCTGATACCAATTGTGACGCCCCAGGCATCTCCTTGATGTAACCCAACCGAAATAGGGAAATACTTGGTCAAACCACCTTGTGTTTGAACACAAGTAATAGCTCCTGCATACATATCTTTAATGATTTGAATATAAGCGTTATTAACTCCTTTCTTTTCAAGAACTCTCCATAGCACTTCTCTTCAAACTTTATCATATGCTTTTTCTAAATTAATAAATATCATATGTAGATCCTCCTTATTTTCTCTATATTTCTCCATCAAACCTCTTAATAAATGTATGGCTTTTATAGTCGGCCTACCTGGCATGAATCCAAATTGATTAAGACTCCAAGGTTGATGTCAATAATTCAAATTTTCTTTCAACTCCCGCTATAGTCTTATCAATAAAAAGAATATCATTAGCAAAAAACATACACCATGGTATATCCTCTTGCAAATATCTAGTAAGAACATTCATGACTTAAGCAAAATAAAAAGGGCTTAAATGTAATCCAACTAAAATAGGATAACACTTGGCCTACCTACCTTGTGTTTGAACATAAGTAACAACTCTTGCATATATATCATTAATGACTTGAATATAAGCATTATTAAATCCTTTCTTTTTTAGAACCATCCAGAGCACTTCTCTTGGAACCTTATCATATGCTATCTCTAAATAAATGAATATCATATTTAAATCCTCCTTACTCTATACTTCTATATTAAACCTCTCAACAAATGTATAGCTTCCATAATAGACCTACCTGATATGAATCCAAATTGACTTTGAGAAATACTAGTATCACTTTGTAACATATGCCCAATTACTTAATTCAACTATAATCCATACACTCTTGTATATCACCTTTATTCTTAAAAATAGGAAGCAACACACACCTTTTTCATTTATCTAGAATCTTTTTAGTTTTCAAAATGAATCAAAATATAAATAAAATAAAAATATAAAATTAAAAATAAAAAAAGTGATCTCAAATTAACCCTAAGCAATTAAAAGTTCTATTTTTTTATTTTCAAATAGAATGTCAGGTGATTGAACTAAAATCATGATTCATATAATATCAAAAGTGTGCTAATAATATAAGGAAAAAAAAACCATGACAATAGAATTGCCAGACATACCGTACTAACATCATTGGTCATCTTTTGGCACTCTCCTTCAAGGCTAAGCATTTCAGCATCCATGGACAAAATCTCATTCTCAAGATCTTTTAGAGTATCATCACTTTGCATGTCCATCATTTGATCTATACCATTGACAATCATGTTAGGTAATCACAAAAAATATATTAGCATAATATAAATGTGGGACATTTCAAAATCTATCAACTATTTTTTTCATTAAATTCATCAGTGCCTACAAGCGGGCTAGGCAAGACCCAAATCCATATATTCAAAAGACTAATCTACAAAGAAAGTGTTAGAATATAGCCATAGAAGAAGCATAGGATAGTGTCTAGAAAGTAGAAGGAAAGTGCCCACAAAAATTAAAAACAATTAGAGAAATTAAAACTAAAGAAGCAAGTAAGCCTTAATGCAGCTAAGTAGAAAGAAATCTTGCCATTATTAATAGAATATATCAGTTGTTCAGTCACTCTTAAGTTAACTAAAAGTACAAGTTAAAACAAGTGAAGAATTCAAATTTATTCTCAATATATGGACTAATAACAATGGAGCTCTACATATGGTTTAGATCTCTTATTAACTAGAGACAGAATCGCCATATTTAAATGAAACATATGTGTATGAGTACATTAGATTAAAAGTCAAAGTACTAAATAACTTGCCAGTATCTGACGTTATATTAGGATGTCCCTTCTTTAAAGATTGGAATGCCATCTCGTTGAAGTTCCTGGAGTTATCAATTTATATATTTAAAAAAATGATATGTTATAAAAATAATAAAACTAAGGTTATACAAGTATAGAATCATAATAAAAGCATAGGATCAAGCAAATGTCACAAGATATGAATAAGAAGGTTTACATATGCCATTAACAATACTTCTATATACAACATTTTAGATCATTCCCAAACTTTGGCACAATTCAACTAAAGCGACTAATTATTTAGTGTGCCTTTTGTCTTTCTTATGTTTATTTTTATTTTAGGGTTGCAAATGGCCTAAATCTAATCTATGATTTTCCTTTATGAACCAATTCTAAAGTATCAAAATTTGCTCAACTCTTCATAATAGGTCAGTTTTTCCCCCTAGTTTCTAGCCCTAGTGTAGTTTCTTCTCTCAATTGTACAACGCAAACGACCTCCACATGCTATTATTTTTCCTGACACTCCTTATGTGTTAGTAGTATCTATCCATTCTTTCTAATCCTAGCACAAATGTATTTTGATAATCTCATCACTGTGCTTATGTATTCCATAACCATTGTCTTATTCATAGAACACAATAACATAACTGTTTTTTAACTAAGGACAAAAGAATGCCTGAAGACTGAAGTCATTGTTATATTCATTTATATAATCTCATCACTGTTCTTAGATTGGCCATAGCCACAAAATGTAATCTGTAGTAGTAGCTTCATAGGAACTCAACATATAAGGAGGCATATTCACAACTTCTATTTACTTGTTCATCCCTTCACCGTTGCATTTTTTAATAAGAATTTTTATACCTCTAAATAGGACCACCCCTAAAGTAATTTTTTTAAAAATAAGAAAAATTATTTAATTGGGCTAAGTCATAATTTTTTTTTTCTCTTTTAGATGTTTTTCACATAAAAACCTTCATTCCTTCTACAATCTGTAAGCTAAGAAACTCTAAGCATGACAAAAAATATAATTAAATTCTACCAAAACATAGAAGTCTCTTCAACACAACAATGAATTCCTTGCACGAGTCATTAGGTCCAGCAATTAGGCCAAAAATTTTAGAAACTCGAGGGCCATAATTTTTTATTTTTTTCTTGTTGGCATTGGCGTTTGAGTGAAACATAACCACAACGTAGATCATATATATCTTCATCGTTGACTTCAAGGGCAGAACCGTTTGCAGGAGCAGCATGCAAGAAATAGTTATTATGCATGGGAAAGTGTTGAAACAGTCAGGCCTACAGTTTAAAGGGTTTTCCAAACTCAAAGAGTAAATAAAACAATAAAGATAATCATCCACAAAATCTCAAACGGTAAGAAAACTTATATCATCAAATCAATGGATACCTTAACTTGCTATTAAACTCGTGCATTGCCCTGATAAACTCATCTCTGTTCCAAAAAAGAAAGCAAAAAAGAATCAAATAATCCAAGCAATCATAACTTCGGGAAACTAAGATAGCACGTACCTATGAATCTTCTCTTCGTTCTTTCATTTAGACAACACAAACAAGCAGTCAAAATTTGTTTTCCAATTAGACAACAAAAATTTTATGTGGAGAAGTTAGAGAATAAAAACCCCGAAACATGGACACTAGATTACCTTAATTGCCTGCAGTTTAGAGCTGACTTGAAAGATCTCATCCTGCAACCCCGAATTCCTTGTCTTTTTTTTCATCCCATAGAACAAGTAGACACAAAGTCATATAACCAAGATAACAATTACAAAAAGAGCAATAAGAAAATAGCTAGGACCTCCATCGCAAGCAGCGATGCATTGGTCCGATCGAGCTGAGCCTGCGATCCCCTCAGCTCCCGCTCGGCAGTCTCCCGAACCCGCTTTGTTTGCTCGAGCTTAGCACTCGCAACTTCATAATCGGCTTGGAGCTCTAGAAGGCGTTTTTTCAGATCGGAAAGCGTACGCTCTGTTTCACATCAAGGGAATCGGTGATTTCGTTGGCGGCCAAAGAGGCCATCAAAAGAGAACGTATGGCCGCATGGCTAGGGTTTAACCTCCTTTCGTTTTCTCAGCGGAGTAGTCGCGTATCAGAAGGAGGAGCTGACGCTGCGGATCGTCGTTGTCCATGGCCGGAGTTCTCTGGTTAGCGGAGAGAGATTTGAGAGGAGCTGAGGAGAAGACGGTGGAAGAGAGCAGGAAATCGAATTCTTGGGGGGAGCAAAAGGGAGAACTCGCTTCCCGCGTTTGAATTTGAACTAGTACTTATAATGACAAAGAACTTGTCGAGGCAGTTTAGCTCTAAAAATTGAAGATTTTTAAAATATTTTTAATTTTTTTCAGGTGGATTTTTTCCTTTTTTATATACATAGAAATTATGAAATTAATATTTAGAATTTAATTAATAATTTAAATTAAAAAAATAAATAAATATTTAAGATTAATAAAAATAAATGAAAATTTAAGAATAAATTACTCTATGGCCTATTAGATGAATGACTAGTTAATAGGATAAGAGGTATTTAAATTTGATCCCCAACAAATTTATTTTGTTTTTAAATATAAATAAACTATTATGTTGATTTTAAGTGTTGTGTGATTAGGGCTGCAAGTGAACCAAACGTTCGACGAGCTACTCGATGCTCGATTCGATAAAAGTTTGTTTGTGATCGTTTAACTAACTAAACGAACAAACTTGAACAACATTTTAAATATTCGATCCTTAAATAAACAAGCTTGAACACTAATGTGTTCGGTTCATTTATGTTCATAAACAACATCATTTGAAGTTCGTGAACAATCTCGACATTAAGCTCGATAAAAACTCAAATGGAGAGAAATGCAACAGGTAAGCTTCATTTAAGAATATATTCATATAGATTAATCATATTTTCATTTTAAATAGACAACTGTTTTTATTATAAATTTAATTTTCTGAACTAAAGATATTTCACATTTGTCTATGTTTGCTAGATTGTTTGTTTAAGATGTTCATGAACAAATTTAATGTTTATTTGTTCAATAGATTGTTTGTTAAACATGTTCACAAACATAACTCGTTAAGGCTTGTTTGTTTAACGCTAGATAAGCATTAAACGAACCAAACATGAACCGAGCATGAATCAAACATGAACACTCTTAAATTAAACGAACAAAACATGAACACAAACAATAAAGCTCGAATCAAACACGAACCGAACTTGAACAAGCTAATGATAAACGAACTCAAACATGAACACTCACATACTCGGCTCGGCTCGGCTCGGTTCGTTTGCAGCCCTATGTGTGATGGCCGCAGTGAGTGCCCATGCCCCCTGGGCCAACTCTGGCTCTGCCCTTGTGCTCAAGTGGGAATTAACTAAACAGAATTTGCTATGGGACCAAATAGACAAATTTAAATTTAAAATATATTTCATTTTTGTGAAAATTCTATTATATTTTTACTGGAATTTATTTGCATAATTTGCCAAAATTATTGATATAATTTATTTGCAAAGTGTCCAATTATATTTTACCATTTATCATTTTTGTTTATGCTTCATTCGAGTAAGGGCTTATAAATATTATTGAATTGGTGAATCGATTCGGTACAATTGTAAACCGGCAGTTTAATTTCAAACAGATTTAGTCCAACATTACAACTATTTAAAAGACGAGTCAAATAGTGCCATCAAGTTATACACTTATACACGCACATAATATATTTTATGTGCCAAAATAATAAATATTGCCTAATTAGGCATTGTTATAATTCCAAATTAATAATTTTATCCTCTCCTCATAGGATTCCTAAAGCATCCCCATCTTTCCCTTTACATTTCTCTTTCATTTTATCTTCTTATAAGGAAAGGAAAACAAACAATACTATATAAATATAGAAAAACTTGAGGACAAAGCATGTGATCAGCTCATGCATGGTCTTGATCACTCTTGAGATGGGGATATTGTGGTCTCGTCGGCAAATTTGGCAGCAACAGAACAAACAAAGGATCCATCCTCACATGGCAGTTTTGAATATTCTCATTAATTTTTTTTATCACAAATATATTCAAATTTATTAAATTTATTTTGAGATATCCTTTTTTCTGTCGTTAAGGTGGAGAACTGAACCAAGAATTCTCTTTCTTCATCATCAATCCAATCACTGTTCACGACCCAGAATTCTATTTTCTCATCAATCCAATCACCGTTTTTAAGAACGAGTGATTGCCCTTCTCCGACCCTTACTGCCCAACCGGAGAGCGGACAGCTAATGCCTTCCACTTATTGAACAGGGTCTATGGTCGGTCCGTGACCCCTGGATGCCGAAGGCGTCCTTGGGGCGATCTCGCAGTTTCTACGGGGTGGAGACGATGGGGTCGGTCCATTTTTTTTAGGGTTTTGAATGGGCTAATATTGATAAAAGAATTCCTCTCTTTTGGCTTAATCTTCCTATTCATTTTCTTTTTAGACTAGCCTTAGGTCTCTCACCCTATGAATGATGGAAACTTTTTCTTCTTAGAGGATCAATATAGGGCACATATGTCCAAGAGTTTGAAAGAGAGAAATATAGATAGACTAAGAAAAAGTATCATGCTAGATTGCTCTATGAGGAGATAAATAGGAGTAAGACAGTAAAAAAATGAGACAAAAAAATTTATAGTGATTCAGCCTAAAGGCCTATGTTAACTCTAAGTTTATGATAGAAGAACCAAGTCCTAAACCCTAAACAACTATATATGATAGATGGGCTCTTAGATCAATAGACAATCTTTTTCGAGAAGATAAATGAAAAAAGATAAAAGAATAAGAAATTCAATAGTGAGATATTTGACTAGAAAGAAATAGAGGTGAGAAAATTATTAGTGCAACACATCAAAAAAATTACATGAAAATATTTTAATTGAATATTTTTGTTGTTATATTATGTGAAGTTGTCATTGTTTTAATTTAAAGTTTATTGTTACAATATGTAAACTTTAATAATAATAATAAACAAGAATAACATTAGAATGCCTTTAATTTTATATTAAGTGGAATTAAGATTCCATGTAATTTATTTATGCACAATAGCCAACCAAATGATCGGTCAAGAAAGCAATCCCCAGAGATTGTACAATCATGTTTGAAATCAAGCCAAGCGTGACCAAAGAGTGAGTCCACTAATAGAGCATATGGAAATCATAATTATCATTTTAAATGATATTTATGAAGTGCAATTTATTGTAAACCTTTTGGCCCCGCCATCTTAAATTTCTAAGAAACAACCTCAAGAAATAAGGCCCGCTTTACTAAAACTTCAACTAACAACCCCCTCTTCCATTCGTACTTCATCTATTGACGATATAATGATTTAAATAGAATGTAAAATGACTTAATAAATATCTTTTGATGAATATCTAAAATATTCATAAGTGTTCTTATTTTAAGGAATATTCTTGGTGGCTTATTCTTAATGGTGTTTGCTTGGCGGCTCTCATATGGTTTTAAATCTTTAGTAAGATTTGATTACATGCTCTTTATATCATTTTTTTCCATGATTTTCTTCTCAATTAGCATCCTCCATATCCTCATATGCATCACAATTCATATCAATAATTCATTCTATATAATACTATATCTCTCAAATTTGAACCTTTGTCTAGCATAGGGCTTGACCATCCACCCACTACAAGCTCATTACCCCTCATCTCTCTCCACAAACCATTAGATTACATCTACAAAATTAGAAAAATAAAAAATATCCCATTTAAAAGGACAAAATACTTGCTTACCCTACATAAAATTCCCTAAATCTTATGAAAGTTCTTGGGTTTCCATTTCTCCTCTTTACCCTAGCTAGCTATTAAGCAACCAATTTGCAAGCCTCCATACCCAAAGCTAAATCCCACTAATTTCTCCACCACTTTTCTAACTCTCTTATTCATTTTATTTAAATTTATTATAAATTATAAATTTAAAATGCACTTATTTTCATTAGCATTTAAATTATATCATTTGCACTTACATCTCTTTGATTAAGAACAAACATATTGTTATGATGTTAGAAATGATAGCTAATAAACTCAATATAACTAGTAGAAGAATTTAAGGAACCAAAAGTTATCTACTATTAATCATTCTTTTAATTTCATGGAGTTAAAAAATGACACCTTTCCAAGTATACAATCTATAATGGATAAAGGAAATGTATTTGTTAAAAAGCAACAAGAAAGCCGTCCCAAACTAGCCCTTAAGCTTCCTTTGAGACAACTTTATTGATACTTTTTCACACAACTTTTCGTAAAAAATTTTGTACTAAAAAGCGCGCGGCTTTAAAAAACATTAAGAAAATTGTCTCAAACAAAACCTCAGACATAAAATACTTTTACATGATTTTGTGACTTTATTGTGTTCTTTAACAATTTAAGCATAAAATAATACATTTCAAGTATTATACTCGTGCGGTCACTATGTAATCTTTGGTTCATACAAATGAAATATAACTTTCAGTAAATTTTTTTAAATAATTCCCACCGGTAAAACATCAATTTCACAGTTTTTAAAAGATATAACTAAAAAAGAAAAATATATAACAGAATATGGTAACCTAATTCACAATTTTAAGATAAATTTGGCAAAATATGGTTAAGCATTTTTAAATAATACATAAATAGTTGTAATTTACATTATTAACACTTGTATTTTGTTAAATGGAGTAAGCACAGATCTAAGCTTTAAAATAAACTATAAACAACATTGGGGACTAATAGCTCTTTTTTTTTTTTTTAAACAAAACCATACATTAATATAAAAACGATTACAACAGAGGAAGCATGTGAGCTAAAATAAAACAAAAGAAAATTACAGATAAAACAAACAAAACAGGCAAAACAAAGGCTCAGTAATCGACCGAGTCTCCCAGCGACCCTGAAGCCAAGCACGGACCGTCCAATAAAAGGTTGCCACCAGCAAAGAGACAGGGCCGCGAGTCCCGACCACATCATTGCCCATAGCCAGTGCACCAACGAATCAGACCTCCAAAAAAGCATAAGAACCCGAAGGAGAGCACAAAAGTGGAAGAGAAACAACATCATCGTCTACGACGGCATCTCCCCCAAAATTTTCCCCGAGATACAACATTGACAGTAGGTTTAGCACAAACCACCGAGAAATCATTGCCAGGGTCAGATCCCCCACAGAAATCCGGAGAATCCAAACCACCATCAGAAAATTCAGATTCCGATTCA